ATGTGTGGATTGATGTCTGGGTCTTCTATTCAGTTACATTAGTCCTCATGTCTGATCTTATGCCAATAACAGGCTGTTTTAAGTACTTTAGCTTTGTAGTAGAGTTTGAAGTCAGGGATTGTGATGCCTCCAGAAGTTCTTTATTGTACAGGATTGTTTTAGCTATCCTGGGTTTTGTGCTTTTCCATATGAAGTTGAGTATTGTTCTCTCAAGTTCTTTGAAGAATTTTGCTGGGATTTTGATGCACATTGCCTAGAACCTGCAGATTGCTTTTTTGTTATGTTAATTCTGCCTACCCAAGGGCATGTTATATCTTTCCACTTTCTGATGTCTTCTTCATTTTATTTATTCAAAGATTTAAAGCTTTTGTCATACAAGTCTTTCACTTATTTGGTGAGAGTTACTCGAGATATTTTATGCAATCTGTGCCTATTGTGAAGGGTTTTGATTCTCTGATTTCTTCCTCAGCCAATTTGTCATCTGTGTACAGGAGGGCTACTGATTTTTTGAGTTAACCTTGTATCATGTTACATTGCTGAAATTGTTTAAGAGCTGTAAAAGTTCCTTGGTAGAACATTTGGGATCACTTATGTAAACTATCATATAGTCAGCAAACAATGAGAGTTTGACTTCTTTTTTTTCCAGATTGTTTTCCAAACTTACCTCCTTTTGGTGTCCTATTGTTCTAGCTAGGACGTCAAGAACTATGTTGAATAGATATGGAGAGAGTGGACAACCTCGTCTTATTCCTAATTTCAGTGGAATTTCTGGAAGCTTTGCTCCATTTAGTTTGATGTTGGCTTTTGGCTTGCTGTATATTGCCTTAATTATGTTTAGATTTGTTCCTTGTATCTCTGCTCTCTCTAAGACCTTTATCGTGAGGGGATATTGTATTTTGTCAAAAGCTTTTTTGACATCTAATGAGATGATCATGTGGTTTTTATTTTTCAGCTTGTTTGTATGGTGGATTATGTTGACAGATTTTCATATGTTGAACCATCTTTGCATCTCTGGGATGAAGCTGACCTAAACATGGTGGATGACAGTTCTGATGTGTTCTTGTATTCGATTTGTCAGTATTTTATTTAGTACTGTTGCATCAATGATCATAGTGAGACTGGTCTGTAATTTTTTTCTTAGTAAAAAAAAAATTCCTTTCTGTGGTTTGGGTATCAGTCTAATTGTAGCCTCATAAAAAGAGTTTGGCAATGTTTTTTCTGTTTCTATTGTGTGAAGTCGTTTGAAGAGTATTGGCACTAGTTCACTTTGTAAGTGTTGTAGAATTCTGAGCTGAAACCACTTGGTCCTGGGTGGTTTGTTGTTGTTCTTGTTCTTTTATTGTTGTTGTTAGACTTTTGATGACTGTCTCTATTTCTTCAGCAGTTATAGGTCTGTTTAATTTTCTTATCTGTTCTTGATTTAATTTTGGTAAGTGATATTTAGCCAGAAAGTTGCCCATTTACTTAAAGTTTTTCAATTTTGTAAAGCTTATATTTTCAAAATATGACATGATATTTCTCTGTATTTCATGAGTGTCTGATATTATGTTCCCATTTTCATTCTGATTTTGTTAATTTGGATATTCTCTCTGTCTTTTGGTTGATTTGAATAGCGGTTTGTCTATTTTGTAGATTTTCTCAAAGAAGCAACTCTTTGTCTCATTGACTCTTTATATTGTTTCCTTTGTTTCTATCTTGTTGATTTCAGCTCTCAATTTGATTTTTTCCTGCCATCTAGTTCTCTTCAGTGAGTTTGATTCTTTTTGTTTCAAAGTTTTCAAATGTTCTGTTAAATGACTAGTGTGAATTTTTTCTAGCTAATTTATGTAGGTATTTAGTGCTATGAAGGTTCTTTTTAACACTGCTTTCATTGTGTCCCATAAATTTGGGTATGTCCATTTTCATTGAATTTTAGGAAGTCTTTAATTTCCCCCTTTATTTCTTCCTTGACCCATTGATGATTCAGGTGAGCATTGTTTAATTTCCATGTATTTGTGGGTTTTCTGGAATTAGTACTGCTGTTGACTTCTAGTTTTAAACAATGGTGATCTGATAAGGTACATTGGATTAATACAATATTTTTTTATTTGTTGAGGTTTGTTTTGTTACCAAGTATGTGGTCAATTTTTGAAAATATTCCATGAGGTGCTGAGAAGAAGGTATATTCTTTTCTGTGTGGATAGAATATTCTATAGATGTCTGTTAAGTCCATTTGAATCAAAACATCTGTTAGTTCTCTTATTTCTCTGTTCATTTCTGTCTGATTGACCTGTCCAGTGGTGAGAGGGGAGTGTTGAAGTCTCCCACTATTAGTGTGTGGGAATAAATATATGATTTAATCTTTAGAAGTGTTTCTTTGTCATATGAGGGTGCCACAAGGACATGTGCTAATCTATGTTCATAGCAACTTTGTTTGTCATAGCCAGAACCAGAATACAGCCAGCCTACAAACCACAATCCCAGATGGGGTACAGATCTAAACAGAGAATTCTCAATAAAGAATTGGAAATGACCCAAAGATACTTAAGGAAATGTTCAACATCCTTAGCCATCAGGGAAATACAAATCAAAATGACTCTAAGATACAATCGTATACCAGTAAGAATGACTAAAATCAAAAACACTAATAACAGATTATGCTAGAGAGGATATAGAGTGAAAGGAACACACCTCCATTGCTGGTGTTTGTGCAAACATTATCAACCACTTTGGAAATCAGGATGATGATTTCTCAGAAAACTGAGAATCCACCTAACTCAAGACCCAGCAATACCACTCTTGCACATATACACAAAGGTTGTTCAATCACATTATAAGGATATCTGTCCAACTATGCAGCATTGTTTGTAATAGCCAGAACAAAGAAACAATCTAGATGCCCCTCAACTGAAGAATCAATAAAGAAAATGTGGTATACTCATACAGTAAAGTACTACTCAGAGGTAAAATTAAAAATGATATCTTGAAATTTGCACACAAATGGACAGAAATAGAAGAAAACATCGTGAATGAGGTAAACTGAACAAAAAAAATGAACATGGAATGTCTCACTCCTAAATGTATAGGAGTTGTGAAGCAAAGAATAATAAGCCTGTAATCCATGGTCCCAGAGAAGTTGGGTAACAAAGGGAATACAAAGAGAAACATACATAGACTACCCTGAGAAAGGGAAGTAGACCGGATCTTCTGAGAAAATTGGGAGTGTGTGTGGAGGGGAGAAGGGCTTTTGTGGGGAGGGATTTAATCCTGCCTCAAAGCAATGTGCTAGACTTTGTTGATTCTCCATGTGAAGCCTTATCCTCTCCAAGGAATAAATGGGAGTGTAATGAAGGAGACCTTGGTTGGAAGGAGCAGAACGAGGTGAAGGAGTGGTAACTGGGAATGGAAAGTAAAATAAGAAAAAAGTTGCTTTTTTAAAAAAAAAAAAAACAAGTCCTTTTTAATATCAAGAAATGTAATAGATAGATGGTTTGAGGGTTATTTCTCTTTAGAAATAATAGATGTTATACCAAATATGTATGAAAGGAAACTTTGGCCTGGCAAGCCCAAATGAAAACAATTCCCACCACCCCTCATTTTAGACTATGACTTTAGTAATGGATGGATATTTCCCAGTCCACTGCTTCTCATATCCAAAGCATTTACACCTTGAAAATAATATTCTTATCATCAGTTTATCAGACAAGGTAATTTCCAAACAGTGGCCCAACAGCTCTACTGCCCTTAGACGGTAAACAATCAAAGTAGCCAAGCTGCTATAAGAACTTGGAATAAAGTTCTTGATATTAATGCTCCCAAGACATCTTTACCACTATAGACAAAACCTACAGATCCTTTTATGACTTTGTAAGTCATCTACAAGAAGCTATAGAGCAGCACATTGATGATAAAGAAGCTGCTTCCACCCTGTCTCTGTCATCTGCTAATTAAAATACAAATCTATACAAAGATTCATTGTGTAGTTGCTAATGCCTCTCCTAATATAGTTGATTTTATACAAGCATGCCAAAATGATGGTGCAGAGGAATAAAAAGGTCAGATTCTGGCAGTTTACTTGTGACTTCCTATGTGTTTCATATGTGGAAGGAAATAAAAATTCTCAAAAATAATATAAACAAAAACTTGACAATCACCCAGGATAGAAAACCTTCCTCTAAAAAACCTGCAAAATGTAAAATGCAATTTCACTGATCCAGTCAGTGTCAGTCTAGATGAGGTGAAAAAGACAATCCAATTCCAGGAAGCACGTGAATGAGCAACCAGGGCTGCTGATGAACAGGACCAGTCCTCTTATAGTCCCAGGTTCAAATCCCACTGCTCTGCCCACAATGCTTTCTATGGAGAAGGCCAGTTTGTTGCCAAAGTAGCAGATTCTATGCCCTCAGGATTCCAGAGCTTGACACTCAGCTCTATCCTTAATCCTAAAACAGTAAGAGATTTGATTGCTACCCAAAACAATTCATGATCACAGTGTATCAATAACTGAACATATACAATTTGATTTCATAGGTGAGGTTAAAGAACCTAACCCAACATCTATAAGGACCCATTCAAACAAACAGCTATTGCTTGTTTGTGGGAAATCAAACTGGACTATGAAAGGGGCCTTAGTTTGACCAAATGCTGTTGATTTGTGTTTTACTGACATGATTGTAGCTTATTCCCAGCTACTCCAGCAACAGTTCCAGTCCCTAAGATTTAAGAGATATTTAAATCATAATGTATTGCGACATTTTGTCTTATTTTCTTTAGAGAAAGAATCATGTCAATGGAGTTGGTCATTGGTAAACATCTTGTCCGGTTATGGCCTGCTCTGAGGCATCCTGAAGCAGCATCACTTAATCCCCAGCAGTTTTTTTGAGGAAAAAAAAGAAAAGGTGGCAAAGACCCTGAAAGACTGATTTGAGAGACAAAGAGACACTCCTAGTGATTATTTCTCAGCAAGTGTCCAGGCTAATCTCTCTGTCATCTCAGACTCAGGACAGCTTCCTGCTTCTCCAGGGTTTCTGACACACTCAGGATGTGGTTGCAACTCTGTGTCTCGCACAGTAATAGACCGCAGAGTCTTCAGATGTCAGGCTGCTGAGCTCCATGTAGGCTGTGCTGGAGGATGTGTCTGCAGTCAGTGTGGCCTTGCTCTGGAACTTCTGAGCATATTTAGTTTCACCATCTGCTGGATCAATCCTTCCAATCCACTCCAGTCCCTGCCCAGGCTTCTGCTTCACCCAGTGCATATAGTACCCTGTGAAGCTGTATCCTGAAGCCTTGCAAGACATCTTCACTGAAGCCTCAGGCCTCACCAGCTCAGCTCCAGACTGTAGCAGCTGGATCTGTGAGTTCACACCTGCAGAGAGAAAGGCAGAGTGGATGCCATTGTCACCTGAGAGTGAAGAAATCTGTATTTGGGGAGCCTTTTACCTGTAACTGCTGTCAATAGGAAGAGGACACTATAGCTCCATCCCATGGTGAGGACCTTGTGTGCTCAGTGACTATGGAGAGGACACTGATCATATGATGTAATGCTGTGTGCATCCTTTTATTAAGCACCATTTGCTCATGTGATTTGCATATTCATGAGCAGGGACTTCTTAGATAAGGACCTAATCCAGTTGGAGAAAAAAGAGGTACAGGGCACCTGAGTCAGGTAGCACGATGTTGAGGTTCAAATTCTAAACCTTTTTGGGGAAATGATCTCATACTTCTTCCCTGAGCACGGTGCAGACCCTCTGTAAATCACATCAGGGCCTAAGATCTCAATTGATTTCAGGCCTGAAACAGTTACCTCGCCTTGAGACAAGGTTATCAGATTGATTTATAAGAGGTGACTGTGATTATAAAGACGATGGCAATTAGTAATTCCAATACATGCTAAATTTTCAAAATGTATAGCCTCCTTTCAGATATATACAATTTATATTTCCTTTGCACTTTGTTACATACAAAATAAATAAAAACTGGTATAAATGACCAAAAGGGAACATACCATAGAAACATTTGTATATCAATGTTTTTTACATCACTTTTTCTAATAACTGAATTATGGAAACAAATATAATTGTAAACAGATGATTCCAGCTAGAAAACATGTTTATATATGCAATACAAGAGAAATATTTTATCAAAAGGAAATAAAAAGATGGCATCACTGTCAGGAAACTCAATGCAACTGTAAATAGCTATATTTGTTAAAGACCAACTTAAAAATGTAGATATTATAACAGTATTTCATTATTAGGTCTTAAATTTTGTGCCAAAACAATTACATATACCAATATATACAATTGTTTAAAAGAAACTGTCTAGCATAATAAGTAGAAAAACAGGTGGGTCAAGAAATAAAAGAGCAGAGATTTTCAGGAAATTTACACAGTCTACAATATCAATTTGAGTGAAAATTTTAGACATACATTAAAATAGTTTCAGTTTTCAAGATAATTTTGTTTATTCTCTAATTGTTTATTGATGTATGAAATATATTATGATCAAATCTACCACAAATATGTCCCTCTGGCTCCACTTGGGATCTTCCAATTAATCTCTTTAAAAAATTCCTGACCTCTTTTCTTCATTAACGCAGTGAATCCAATCAGTGCTATATGAGCACATAGATGTGTGATCATTCACAAGTACGCAGAGAACCTACAGATACCATACCAAAAAAAAGTGATTATAATTTTCTCATCAGTCTTGAAAAGCAAACAGACTTCCACATTTGTGTGGGCCTTCATGAGTCCCTCTCCATCATATTGCAATATTTTAAAATATTATTGCATTTTATTTAATGATGAGAACAGCACACACATGCACCAAGGGGAATACATTTATTTATGGGGCAACTTAAGAAATTAAATTTTTGCATTCTTCAGTGTGGCTACAAGCAATTAAAATAGTATTGTCAAGACTTCCAGTAGACACCTTTACATGCTCAGCAATTTCACAGGCTCTCAGTCTGTCTTTGTGTTTGGCTGGATTTCTTCATGTCTTATGTTGGAAACTATTGTGATTGTTAGCTCACATGTTCAATGGTCAAGGTAAGTGTTAGAGTTAGAATTCCATGAATTTCTTCCCTATATTCTGGATCTTACATTCTTTCCAATGCCCCTTTGTAATGATCATTGTGCTTCAGGTGGGAGGTTTAATGACTCATCTGAGATTGTGTACTCAAACATTCATTTTCAGCACTTTGAGTAGTCATGAATGTTTGCAAAACTCATGAAACACAGCACAGAAGAAATTCTGGGATCAAGGCTGAGAGCAGCATCAACTTACTGGGAAAAGACATAGATATTTTTAAGACAGTTTGACAATATGACCATTAGTGATACAAGTAGGATCTACTATGTAAGTAGTATGTCACATCCAGTCATGGGTATTTTTTTTAACTTGTTTACCAAGGATGAATACATTCCTATGAATCTGACCACAAATCCAAGTAGAAAGTATTCCATTTTTACATAACTACTAGGCACTAGTGGATACATCTTAGCTGAAGTCTGATATTGTAGATCAAGAGGCCTGCTACTGTGTAAGGTTATTGATGCCTTTTCTCTCCCTTCAGGGTGCATAACACATTTCTGCACTAGAAAACTTACCAAGCAGGGAGCATTTCCTATTCAGTTCAAGGTTGGTTTTTCTATGCTCTACAACTAAAGTCCTCAACTCACAGTGAAATATAGATTGAATCAACTTTGTTGTTCTCTTTTTACCTGAGAATGATTATAAATAAGAAATCAAAGTGCAGTGAACACAGTCATGAGCTGGGGAAAGATTGTTTACAGGTTGATGTAAGAATAAATTACTGTAGTTACATGGGATATTAGTTTGTAGATTTTCACCAAAATGATTCAATAAAATTATGCAATGTCCCAGCCATATCTCTCCAAGCATGTGTTAAATAACTCTATATCTTTTTAAGAGTTAGTTCTGTGTCCATGTTTATTGGTGTTCTATTATCAGCGACTGGAAGATGAAACAAACCTATATTTCAAAAAAAGGACAAATAAATAATGAAAATGTTGGTTGTATGAACAATGGAATAATAAGAAGTAGTAAAATATGAACTACGAAATCTATACATAAGTGGATGGAACTGGAAAAATATGCTGAATGAGGTCTCTCTAGATCATAAAAACAAATGCTACATGTTTTACTTAAATGTGATTGCAAGATGTGAGTATTATGTTTGTGTGTTTCATTTATATAAATCAAGAAACTTAAAATCGGCCATTGGGGTTTTATTAATTAAGGTCAAGGATATATTAAAATATAGATAAAATTGAAGGAGATCAGGAAAACACTGGAGACAGAATTTCAAATTTGAAATCATTTACAAAATGAAGACATTAAGTGGTGGTGTAAGAGATACACAATTTAAGTTGTACGAAAATCATATTGAAATGGGGATCTTGAAGCATAAATAAACATATAAATGTAAAGGATATAGAATGCACTTGCATGACATAAGAAAGCAAGACCATGAAAGTAAAGAAATGTAGACTATGGAATAAGAGAAATGTAAAGCATAATGTCATTGTTATAACAAAATTTCAGGAAATAAGGAAGATTGCCTAGATGCCTTGTTTTACATTTGATATTTTCTATGTATTGACTGAATAAAGTTTATGTTCAGATTTTGGTGTGGTTTTATGGATCTGTTGATACAGCACTGTTATCAAAAATATATTTTAAAGAAAATTGTATGAAAACAAATAAGATATAGATAAACATGTCATTTAGTTATTAGCATTGCCCCTGTGGGTTTTCTGATCATGTTCTATGGATATAAGAGATATATGCTTCCAAAAATATGAGTTAGACAGCTCATAGATGAGATTTGTAGACAATGAGGTCTGCTACTGTATAAGATCCTTGATGTCTTTTCTCTCCCTTCGGGCTGCCTACCTCCTTCCTACACAAGAAAAATGACCCATCAGGGAGAATTTTCTGTTTAGTACAAAGATGGTTTCTAATTAACTAATGAGTGTTTGAACACAGAAACCTGCATGGGAGAACTGTTCTGCTCCCAGAAACCCTGAGTTATTAATGAACACGTCTGTATGGGCACAAAACAGCTTTCTACGATAATAATTGGGGAGAACCCGCAGGTGTTAAGAACAGTAATAGGTATTGCCAGTGTTCTTTTTAGTCTACAGTAGCTTAATAGTTCGACCTTGTTTCTGAAAAAGAATTTAAAATGTGAATAAATCTTAAAAGCTAAATGTGGCGCATAACTCCAAGAAGAGAGTGTCTTCCAGACACCACAGGACTGATGCACATATGAAGTCACAGAGACTGGAAAGCATGCCGAGTCTGCACAGATTCGATCCTAAGGGGGTCCCAAGGATCAGAGAGGAACATGTACACAGGTTTTTATCCCTTAACCAAGAAGATCTATAATTGATTCATCCTTGCAATGGAAATGTTTGTTTTCTCTATTGGAGTGTATTTACTTCACTCAGAACTGGACACAAGTCTTGCAGTAGATGGCTAACACAGAATAAATGCAATATTTTACAGATATTTTCTCTGATTTCATATTGTGCATTATTTCTTCAATCTCACTCATCTTTTACCTATATAAAATAATTAGATAGTTGAGTGTTGTTATGGGTTATATGAATGTAAGTTCCTGTTTTTGTTTCTTACATAAATGCTTTTCTATTTTAATTTTTCTTTTTTGATTGTTTGATTTCTGCAGAAAGAAGGAGAGAGTGTGAAATTGGGGGAGATTCAGTAATCAGAATATATTGTATAATTTTTGTGAAAAAATATGAAATAAATAAAACTGAATAAAATTTTAAAAGAATACACAAACCCGTGAGGAGTTTGACAAGGAATCTTCACTATGAGTTACCATGAAAACATCATATTTTAATCACAGCTGTTGCAGGTCAGTTAACAGACTTTAAGAAAGGAAACCACAGCAGATACATAAACCCTGCCACACTTCACCTCATCTCTGTAATGGAGATTCTTAGCTTTTTTGTGCCTCCTGCTGGTCCTTTGCTGCATTGCAAGTTGATATGCCATGTCTTACAATGAACTTGCATAGTCTGATTTAACATGTAACACAGGCATGAAAAACAGTGTTCAGCTGCATATGTAAATGGGTTTTGATTCTCCTGGAGATGCTGAAAGGATGTTTCAGAAATTGATTTTATATTATGCTTGCATAAATTATGAATGTCCATCTCAAAACTAGGCATCACTCTGGTGACAGTTGTATGTATCCAACTCTAGCAATCCCCTTTTGTAACCAGAGGAAAAAGCAGAATCTTGACTGCTTTCATTATTCTATATGTGGGGCAGAGCACCTGACGTCAGAGAATCACACAGTCTTGAGCTTAGTTCATGCTCCCACCTGTTTCCAGACACAAGAGCCAACAGAAAGAGGAGGCACTACCGTGGTATTTAAAAATCAGTTAACAACTTGAGAGAAATATTTCAAGAAGGAAGAGTTTAAAGACATTACTGACTGATAAGATGTTAGAGTCTATCATAGCTTGGCTGAATTCTCTAATCTGGGAAACA